TTTTTCTTAATTGTGATGTACTTGTGATTGTTTTCTTTCTTATGTTGAAAATAATAAAAAATTTTGAAAAAAAAAATAAAAAATAATAATAATTGACATTGTTCTTCTTCAAGAGATGTAATATGCCTAGGCTGGAAAAACATGGAGTTCTCTGAGACTAGACTGGTTTCTTCACTTACAAAACCTAGTAACGCTGTATATTTCTATTGGATATTCTATGTAAGAATTCTTTGAAACGACAGCCCAGTCCATGAGTAATTCAAGTTGAGCAAGGTTCTGACTTGTTAAGATTTATATTTAATAAGAGAAGAGACTCTTCCATTGCAATGGAACAAACCACTACAAATTCTACAACTGTAGGAGAAGAAGAGGCAGAGTCTAGGGGTGGAGTCAAGAAAAAAATCAATCCTGATTCATTACATTCCAACAAGCAATCCAAGCCCAGACTCCCCTTTAATTCTGTTAACTCTTATGCAACACCAATTTAGTGCTGACTGTTAGTTGACTAGATTTTTGTGTATAGGAATAGACCATAAATCATCTTAACCGGAACCTAATGTGTGGTCCTGATTCTTCATGCCTGGCAATGACTGGCTTAGTGGAAATCAGCTATGCGCATGCAAGTTATGGTGATAGACAGACACGTGCCATATTTACTAATAAAACAATCTGGGGTGACGTGCCAGTGACAAAACACCCAGAACCAACTCAAATTTTAGTGACTTTTTTCTAGAACAGAACGTGACATGAAAAAGCACCATTTAGGCTCAACTTCAATATGCAATATGTATATTAACAAGTAAAAGGTATAATTTTTCTTGGGATTGTACAACACACATTGGAGGAATAGATATTTTTTGTATCAAAAGTTGTGCTTCTTTTAAAGCTCAGATCAGAAGATGAGCTGGAACTAATTCACCCCCAACATTATACTTCTTTATGATGACTTTTTTTGGAAGCAGGAGCATTCAATCATGCAATGCTCTACCTGCATTCAGAAAGGTTATGCACAAATCAAAAATATTTGCTGTTTCTGAATGCACAGAAATGACCATACCAATTCCATTGACTCTAAGCTGCCACATGGCAGAAAAAGACACAATATAACTTTAAACACATACAAGAGGAAATCTGTATTCCTTACCTGCCCAAAAAATCATCTTTATCTGGATCTTCATCATAAAGATCAACTTCTAGATCTTGACCGGGTACTTCATGAACAACAAACTGAAATGAATGAAAGCAAAATTAAGTAACAAAAGAGGCCATGCCCACCCCAGCGCCAGCAATGCGAAAAAAGTCGCAATATGTTGCGACATATCACGTGATGCAGCAAGTTTGACACCCATGCACTAATGCATAAACAGACTTCTTGGTGAAACAGCAACAAAAAACTTTCAAATATTCTTTAATTTATTATACTGACTGGTTTAATTGAAAAGCTTTTTTCAAGAGAACTTATTACAGTAATTCCAAAAGCTTCATGAAAAAGCCTTTCAAATAGCCTTTCTCTCACTTTCTTTAAAACAACAGGACAAAGTGGACAATATTTAAAATGGGTGGGTTTTTTTCCTTTTGTAAATTAGTATTCCATTATTCCTGTAAACTGTTTACACCTGTAAATTAGTTTGCAATTAATCCATTTCTGTTGCTGGCAACAAGACATATATTTTAATGACTTTTGGATGCTTAGAACTACAACACCCTTAGAAGCAAAATGGCTGACATTCAGGAATTCTGGGAGTTGCAGTCAGAATATCTGAAAAGTATTTGGTTGCCTATTCCTGCTGAAATACTGTTTCCTTAATCACTTGATTATATTCCTTATTCAAAGTATTTACAGAAACAAAAAGTCTTTTAGAACATGTTTAGTTTCAAAAATACATTCAGATAGTCTGTATTCCTATATTCACCAGGGAAAAAAACTTCCCCTACATTCTGTGGGGCTTAATTTGGAGAAGGCATATATAGAATTGTTGCTAATATATGCAAAACTCCAAGACACAACCTCTGACCTGTTTCAGCATTAGGACCTGATCTAGCATTATGTGAGTCAACTTCCATAACAATTTGGGTTTTTTTTCCCCTTCCCCATTTCTCCCTTGCACTGTTTGAGATATGTACCATTTCAAATCTGCTACATAAGATTCAGGAGGTGGGTGGTATTGCAAATAATCCCCAGCACTTTGTTTCTAAATAGACAAGAAGAAGTATCACCTCAAACATTTCATTCCAGATGGGATTCAGGTCTCTTTGTACTGTTTTGCTCCGGAGTTGCACCAGACCGACTCGAAGGAGAGCATAAGGATCTGACTTGCCCCTGATTGCCCCAAGGAAGTTGTCTTTTTCCACAAGATTTTCGGCTTCCAAAAGATACACTCTTAGGACTCCCTTGAAAACATATAATTATTAAATAGTATGTAGAATGTTCACCCCAGGGGATCTCTCTGATATATAGTACTATCAACATATCATAAAGGAAAATGGGGAATGTCTCGAACCACAACCCACAGAAGCAATTTAAATGAGATTTGCCAGCAGAACATTTAAATTTATTAGAAAAATCTATGTTGTTATTTTGCTTTTATTACGAGCCTTACATCAATCTCTAACAATCTTTCTTTGTGCCTCTTATTGTGGTGGATGAGGAGAAAAGCCAATACGTTTGCTGTTGATAATTCTCTGGTGAATTGGAGAAGGGGGGGGGGGAACACACACAATGCCTTTTTTAAATTATTTACCAAAATAAACTTGCACTAACTATAAGTCTGCTGCGTATTTACTGAGCTTCATTCATTCTGAATTGATTCCCGCCAGGCCTTTGTCTGCTCAAAAATTCTCTCCAAATCAGGATTTTTTTTTAAATCAAAAGGAAGCTTTTTCAAACTTTTTAAAGTTATGTGATATTCTGGATAAAGAAAGGGATTGAAAAGAGATGAATGGGCAAATAGCAACTATTACTTAAGACAATTAGATAAATTTTTGCCCTATAACTTTCTCTCCACTGTGCTAATTCAAATACAAGCATGGGGCAAGTTTGCAATCTCCCCTTTAAGTGTCAGTACACTGCAGGTGTGTAAAAGAACAAACAAGTTGGCGTAAGCCTCACTCTTTAGAAGGGTCCTTTTTTCTATATTTTGAGCCAGGCGTCTCACTAACAAAGCGCAACTCTGACCCCAGACTTACACGTGGAATCGGAAACCGCAACTGAGTCACATTCATGTTCTTTTTCAATGGGATTGTGAGTCTATTTGGTAACACCAGCCGGGCAGCAATGAGATCTTGAATTAGCGAGTCTGACAATAAACTGAAATAATAAAGGAGACATTTAATTCAAAACAAAACGGAAGAGTACATGTGTGTCACACTGCTCTACTGAGCTTGTGACTCTTGTATTGTTTGTAGACTCCATCTTAGCAGACTGCCAAGGCCTGTTGCCCATCAAGAGATCTGGGATGCAGGGACGCGGGAGTAGAAGGGATGCATACTCAGTTTTATTTTCAACCTGAGAGTTTAGGATGCTTTGTTACAGACAGGTAAGTCATTTAAGATAGAACATCTTGTCTGCCGAAGAAAACATAGAAAACAAGGTGCAGATAAGCCTGAGCTAGTTATGCCTCTTATTTTATGCCTTCAACATGCACTTGACTCTGGCAAATGCCTGAACAGGTTCCTGCTGTTTTCTTGGCAAGATTTTGAGATGCAGCCTGTGCTTGTCTTTTTCCTAGAAGAGAGAAGGACTGGACCAATCACCCATCTGGCTTTGTGTTGAAGGCGGGACTAGAATTCATTCTAGGATTCTAGGTTGGTGATTTAATCACTATACCAGTGTTTCTCAACCTTGGCAACTTAAAGATGCGTGGATCTCGACTCCCAGAACTCTTATCACCAGCTGACTTTGCAGGCACTAGATCTATATCCACTTGCATCTCATATTAAATTCTTTTATTTCAACAACTTTTACTTTTCTTATCAGCAAATGTAAAACAACAAAACTCCTAACCCCAACAAATTGTCAGGCAATTGTTTTCTGGAAGCAAAAACTCTTCTTCTAATGGGATAAGTACAATATTTTTCCTTCATTAAAATAACCAAACCAAAATCAATATAGAGAAACACAAATACCCAAACACATCTTTACTTTCAAAACCTCAACAGAATAAGGTAATTAACTTTCCTGTGGATATGACATTTCCTGTGGATATGACATTACTTTTGTTCTGATGGGGCTAAAGTAGCAATGCAAGCAAAAATTCCCACTAGAAAGCAAATAGCTAAAATGGCCCTGACATTTCTAACTAGAATTACAAAACAAACAAAGAATCTGTAAGATTCTGTGTGGTCCCTACTTGCCGGAATGTCTATGAAGGACATAGCTTCTATTTGATTGGCCCTGTGCTCACCCACAATAAGCTGTCCCTGTTGTAGAATTGCCATATAACATCTCTTCCATTTAATCTCCATTTTGATACTTTATTTATTTGATATTGTTGTTTTAAATAATTCAAGGCGGTGAACATACTTAATACTCCTTCCTCCCTGTAACAACAATAACCCTGTGAGGTGGGCTGGGCTGAGAGTGACTGGCCCAAAGTCACCTAGCTGGTTTTTCATACCTAAGGCAGGACTAGAACTCACACTCTCCTGGTTCCTATGACAGCACCTGAACCACTAAACCAAACTGGGTCTTTAACATTTAGATTGTTCCCACTCATTTGGAGGGAGGCACTTACCTAATGCCTGGAGCATCCAACAGGTTTGTTAGCCCCGCCCAATTGATTTCCAAGTGCTACAATAAGAATTAAACCAACAACAAAAATGCAAGGTTAATAACTGAAAACAGAACTGGTTTTAAATTATTTGTCAAAGTCAGGAACATGGAAGACTGTTTACATCAAATTAGCCATATGGTCCATGAGATCCTATTGGAGATGGCAGGCAAGGAACCTGCAATCTTTTCTCCATGCAGAGCATATAGCATACCACTGAAAAAGTCAAGAATATTGAGTATAATAAAATCACCATAATTATACAATAAAATGATTCAGACATTTGAGAGCATCTAATGAAGCATCCTTCATTCATCTGATATGTTTATGGTATTTTAATTCAGCATGATGAGTATTGTGTGGCCATTCTGAGTGAATTCAGACTGTCAACCACTCAAGCCTTGAGGAATTATGTGGTCATTTCTATTACCCACCTATTATAAAAGGCATTTTGGCTACTGCTACAAGTTCCACGAGCAAGAAAATTAGCCATCTAGCAAGGCAGCCTCAGGGCAGTAACATAACTGAATGGTTTGCATTCAAAGGAGATGAATAAGCATCATCAAGACCTTGGTTCATTTCCTTCACTGGAGCCTGTCATTCTGACTGGATTCTTCTCATGCCCTTGCAATGAAAGGCTGAGACAATCGGCATGTGTCAATGTTCTAAACTTGACACATGTCTGTTAGATGTATGTACTTTGCTAATGCCAGAACTCACATAGCTGGTTTGAGGAATAACATGCATTCTGAGTGCTGAAGTATCATAGCACTGCGGGGACCTTCTTCCCTGCTTCCTCCATGGGGTTGGAGATGACTACCAGGGGTTCAGAGACCTCTTCCACGAATCCTACTGTTCAATAAAACATCTCTTTCAATGCTTTTAGCCTTCTAAATTTTAACTGATTTTTGTTTTTCCTTGTAAATTTTAATTTGTTCTTAACTCTTGTTTTCAATTTGCATTTGGTTCATGTGTTTATATGGTTTTAATCTGGGGCTGTAAAGCACCCAAAGTAACTTAAGTGAGATGGGCCGTGTAGAAATTTAATCAACAAAATACAAAAAAATAAATACAGCATTAGGTGAAGATGGTGTCTGAACATGCGAGACTGTGAACATTAATTTTAGTGCAATGAGGCAGAGAGGAAGCTGAGGAATTTTAAGCCAGAGCAATTTTTGGAACTAATACTATTTTTTTCCTAGTATACAAAATAATTGAAAAGTCAGAGTGATGTAAAGGTCTCTAGAGCACAATATAAAAGCTGTGATCTTATGCATTGTTGTTGTTGTTGTTGTTGTTGTTGTTGTTGTTCGTCCATCGATTTCGATGAAGACCTTGACATCTTATGGATTATGGGCCATCAACGGTGTGTCTGTAGATGGCTGATAAGACCGATGTTAGCACGGAATGTTCTGCCACATACTGAACAGAGAAATGTGGACACTATGTGGACAGTATGCACTCTTATGCATACTGGTGTGATGATAGAGGGTTTCAGATGATGCCTTTCTCTTATCATCCTGTACTTTGGGTACACAGGCTGTACGTTAATCAAAATAGACTACCGATAAATTTACAGATTAGTTGGCTTCTGTAGCTCCCCCACCAGACACTGTTCAAATACATAAAACAATTTTTTTCCATACTAGAGTTTTAATTTACAGTTGTATGGTAGTTTGTTGTGACAGTGTACTGAACATTTGGGAGGGAGGGAGGCAGGCACCAAAATGTTATGGTTCCACTAAGGACACCTATAAGGTTCAGCCTTGAAGACATAGTCCAGAGATTTGAGGGAGACGCTAACCATTAGGAGTAGAGGTTGTATGAGATGGAATGAAATCCACTCATTAGATAGATTGGTTTACACTACTTGCACCTACATGGAGAAAATCAAAATCTCCTTTAATACAAAGCAAGAAAATTGGAGTAGAAGTTACTTTCTCAATAGGTTAGGGATGGACTGAGGCAGGGGTAATGCAATCTGGCTCACCTGAAATGACTCATCTTCATCCTGAGGCAACCTGGCAGCACACACATGTCCTTTTAGAAATGGTTTCAGATATGTGAAACTCGTGCTGAAGAAACATGTGTTTTGGCTTAATGTTTATTAATTTAAATGGCTCTTGAAAACCCACTTGGTTCTTGAAAGTTAACCTGAATAGAATTCTTTACTTACACTATTAATTGTTTGGTTAATTATTTTTAAATGGCTTCATTTTACTTTAATAAGGGCTACCACTAGGTTACATGATATTCTAAATTCCTTAAAGTTTTCATACTTTTATTTTTATCAGTGAGCTATCATGGAGGGTACTTCCTTGAAAAGCTATAGTGAAATATTTGGAATTAAATTAATCTAACTTATTAAATACTACTATCTCTGAACAGTAGTATGTTGGCATGCTTTAAAACTATCTTCCTGTTTGGTTTGGTTTGGTATTCTTTGTTTAAAATGATGTTTGGGAAGAAGAAATAATCTTCCTTATTTCAGAAGAACTTTCTCAAGTCTATTATAAAACATACTGACCAATGTGTAAATCAGCAGTCCTAATCTGGAAGGACACTATTTCTAAATTGAGGGGGAAAAATGAAGAGTGCTAATTTGTTAATTTGACTTATAAATTAAAAGTCTTCTCATAAAATTTGTTGGTTGGAAAATGTGCTACCAGGCTCCTGGTTAGTCTAACACAGCTGTCCTCTTTCTATTTCTATAATGGTGTATCAGAATTGACTTACAGGTTTCTGTAGAAAAAACATAGTTACAGCTCCAAAAAAGGGTATATCTGTCAGAAGGGGCTCCAGAATTACTCGTAACGTTCCATGCAACTGCAAAAAAAAAAAAAATGTTGATTTTTTTCCAGGAAAAAAAAAGGAAATATCTAAAAAATGTTTCATAAGTTGTTCTGTACCTACCTGTAGTCCTTTCACTCCTACTTTAAGCTTGGAGATCTCCATGTGAATTTCACAATCACCTATATAACTGAGAAGGTGTTTCAATTAGCAAGATATTAATTAGGAGGGGGAAGAACAAAGTAAAAGACAAAACACTGCATTTTCTTATTATTTTAAAGGAATTTCTTATATTGTAATAGTATGAGATGAAGAGTAAACTCTGATTAAAAAGGCATAATAAGAGTATGTATGAATACAGTTTTAGACCAGAGATACTATATCACATCACATTTGCTTTGTGAAGCAGATAACTTATTACAGTACTTTATTTTCTTATTATGCTAATGTTTTTCTGCTACACATAACGTAATAAAGACCTTAATATTTATTCAATTATTTATTTGGGCATATCAAGTAATATATTTGCCAGATTAATCCAATTTCCTTTATTACTATGTAACTTTCAGGAAATCTGGTAAATTTGATCAATGTATCTATGTTTGTGTACGTATACAGTATATATATGAATGCATAAATACATACACATACGTACATACAAACATCAAGAATCATAGTGAAAATGTATCTACTTTTCTTCTTTGGTTGCCTTTTTTTGCTAAACAATAAGATACCATGCATTAATATCTTATTATTTTTATTTTTTCCTGCCATAAAAATCCCTTAGTGAAAAAGGGATAAAATAACTGTACAGAATTTACTAATTGCAATAATCAGAAAACACTCTGGAATTACAAAGAAAGATGATGACCCATTCAGATTCAAGCATTATACTGAAATAAGATTAACACCGCTTAATAATAGGGCTCCAATGACAAATTCTACAAATTATAACTCCTATTCTTGCTGCTTAGCATCTTAACAAATATTGCAGAGAATTTGTAACAGGAATAGCAGTTCACACATAAAATTCCTAAGAAAGGTCACTCACTGGTTAATCAAAGTTTCCAATCTTCACATTGTATCTAACATCAAGTATGCATGCACATGAGTTTACAGTATATTGGTTACTTCAACATATTGCAGATAAACAATAACTGTTGTCTAGTAAATAAGATTCTTGCGGCCTGATGGCAACAAAACTAATTCATTTGAACAGCAAGATAGATGGCCTATTAAATAAATAAATAATAATAATAATAAAATGATCACCAATATGTTGTTCCATACAAATTCCATGTTACAAAACTTTCACACACAACAGTTCTTTCTTTGTGGAGATACAAGACCGTCAAGTATGAACTTTTAAATTTGAATGTGTTATAGGAACATTTGGGAATCCAAAAAGCACAAAGGCATTGTAATAAATGTAGCACTGTCTTACAGCCAGGCCCATAAATAGGAAGGTCTGTAGAGCCTTCCACAAATCTCTTCTGGCCTCTAAATGTTTCCAGTTGAATAGTACGTCCAACTGAATGACTCAAAATAGTTTGCCTAATAATGTGGCTCAAACAAGTAGCCTCTCATCTCCAGTTCTTTGCCTGTCCCCTTCAAAGGTTTTGGTCTAGTTAAAGAGCTATTTATAGTCACTTTTACTTTCAGTCTTTGCTAATAATGCACTGTCATGTCATAGTGAAAGATGGGAAGCATTTCCAAGAAAGAAGCTAAGTCAAGTTTAGTTGACCTCCCGTGTCACAACATCATGGAACTGTTTAAACTAAATATGCATTTCCTGTGTGATCCTTTCTGCTATCAAAATGTTTAACAGAGATGTCATGTTCTGCTGTCAAACTGTTTTTGCATTAACCCGATGATAGCATGCTTACTCCGCTCCTGCAGCCTTCTATAATGTAAAAAGCTTTACTTAAGATTGTTTTGTTATTCTAAGGCAGCAAGAAGTAATAATTTCCTTTAGCACACCATCCAAAGTGTACTTGCAATACAGTAAAAGATATTTCAGTGATCAGTGTCCATTAGCAAAATCTAATTTTGTTTTCTTTTTTGAAACTACATGATTATTTTTCAAAAATAATAATGTTTGCCTGTGTAACCAAACAAAGCAGATGCAAATAAATCTAATGAACATAAATAATTATAGAGTCTTTGGTGCTCTCTGGACTTGTTTGTTTGGGGACATTACCCAAATAGGTAACATCATCAGTATTAGTGAGTGTGGGATTTGTTCCCTGTTTATATAAAATAGGTTGCCCTGCCAGTTTTGGTGGGGATGTGGTTTTCTCCTTAGTTCCTTGATTAGGGAAATGTTTTCTGCTTGCTTGTTTGTCTGGTGTTAATCCCATTGCACAACTTTCAACTATCTGTTTCTATGTGCAGAATGAGGCAGAAAGTCAGCATCCCTTGCCTTACCTTAAAACTCAAAAGGCCCTAAACAGGGGGATACAGGAAGGATGGAGATGGTCAGATATTTCTCCTGACATCATCAGTTCTGCCACAGGAGACTAGGTTACTAACATGGTTGGGTCTGGGAGTTGAAATCCATATATCTGGAAGGCCCCAGGTTGGTTTATTATCTCAAAAGCCACCTTCCCCCAATGCTGTTAAGTTTATGTCTAAAATGGTCTCACTAGACCAGGGGTAGGCATAGCTGGCTCAGGAATTCTGGGAGTTGAAGTCCACGAGTCATAAAAGAGCCAAGGTTGCCTACCCTTGCACTAGACCAAACGTTTTGCCAATGCCAGATCAGAGTGTGATGCAGTTTATCCATCATACCAGGTGAAGTTTCTTTAAGCATGGTTATAAAAGAGTATAAATTGGTAGGTTTATACCACATGCAAACCATGCAAACTGAATTTACGTGACCTGAGCAATGCCATGCTGTCTGACAATCTAAAAACCAAAGTCCATACGTTTATAAACATCCCGGTTGGGGAAGGCTGTGAGAATGTGCCTCATTTCACTTCAAAATGTTGGCAAACCATGGATTTTTACAGAGCGGACTTTCCCTCTTACTCTTTTCAACGACCTCTGGACCTCTGCCTTTCAGTCCTGCTTTAATGGCGTGATGGGGCAGAATAGATTAATTAGCAGTGGCAGGAAAAGGAGAAGATGAGCCAAACAAAACTACCCAATGAGGTAGGATGGATCATGGTATAATCTCCCTTAAGGAGAGAATGGTTTCACATAACATGCCACTTACATTGGTCACAAACCAGTGCCTGCATTTAGATTTACGTTGATTTTTACTTTTTAAATAACTTCCTGTGTTACAGTATAAGAGATATACCACTAACATCATGATTGTGCAGTCATACATGGCAGACTGCTAGGCACATGCATGAGATATTTCAGTGGCATAAGTGGCATTGAGGCCTCGGTGAAATGAATCTGGGTTCCCACCTCATTTGCTAGATATAAGACTATGGTTTTAAAGTCTTTTGCAGGCCAAGAACATATTTGAAGATATGTTCAAGATATGTTTTCCTGGTTGTATCTACCCAACCTGCTAAAGCAGACAGGGACAGCAGGGGGTATTATTGTTTTTGTTTGTTTATATATTGGGTTCTTATTTTTGTAAGCCAGCCAGAGTCATTGAGAGTCAGTGGGCGGCCATACACATTTTCTTAAATAAATAAACAAAACTTTATTTGGCCTTTGATTGGCTGGCTAAAAATAAACCAAAGAGTGAGTAAGGTGGGAAAAAAGGGATATTAAATTATATTTAGTTAATAGTACAGGGTCTCCTGCTTAAGCAGGGGGTTGGACTAGAAAACCTCCAAGGTCCCTTCGAGCTCTATTCTGATTGAAGTTTAATGTCTTCATTAAAATTTAACACTTAATCCAAGAAATTAGAATTCAAGAATTCTGAGTAACAGCACCTATAAGAAAATAGGCAAACATAATACAGGCATTCTAGCTAGCACTCTACTTTCAAATGAGACATCTAATTTAAATCATGGCAGCAAAACTTCCCACTTTTTCAATTCTTTTCCAAAGACAGGACATCTGTATCTCTTTTATTAGTATGCAAAATAACTGTTAACTGTTAGTATTATATTCTGTGTATTTAATAATTTTCTCTTTCCCAATTAGGGTTGCCAGGTGTCCACTATTTGAGCAGACAGTCCACTTTTTCACATTATGTTCACTATTTTTTTCACAAAATAGTGGACATTTTTTTTATTCAAAAGCTTTATGATAAAATGGTACGTAATCTAAAGCTGTACAGTCTACTTTTTTTACTACTTAACCCCCCCCCCCCGCTTGTCCGCTATTTTTTGGAAGCAGACCTGGCAACTCTATTCCCAATAAAAATCACAGTTTGGTGGCAACATCTGTCAAGCCTGCAGAAACCACACCCATAAGCTTGGAGAAGTGCACCCCACAGTACAATAGAAATGATTTCCCCTGTATTATCTCTTCTAGGAAAGGTTCAACAAAACAAATATGCATATTTCATAAGACTGTATTAAAAGTAAATTCCGCTGAACAGAAAGTTATGTGCTGAGTGCCATCAAAGTTGATCATCCATCTTCAAGCAGTGAGAATTAGATCACATTGCCAATACAGAGAACAAGGAAATAAATCACGTGGCCATATAATAACTTATGCATCACTGAATGTAATGAAAGCACTTTTCACAAATATTTGAACAAGGCAATATTGAGAGATTAAGCAAACCCACAGAGTGTCAATTATAAGTAGCAACACACTCAGGTTTACTGTATATGTATTGTAGGTAGCTATAAATATTGCACTTGCCTGTATAATAAATCTAAATTACTTAAGATAAGCAAACATTGTAATATGATAAACTAAATAATGGGGAAACAAGTACCTATAATGCTGTTCTAAGAGGATGTTGGTAGTTTGTCATGTTGCCCCCATATTTTCATATTAGCAACATGCATCTTGTTATCCCCGACAGTCTAAAGCAGTGGTTCTCAACCTTTTTAATGCCGCGACCCCAACCGGTCGTAAGCCGAGGACTAAACCGGTCGTAAGTCGAGGACTAAACCAGTCGTAAGTCGAGGACTACCCAACCGGTCGTAAGTCGAGGACTTTCCCTGCCCGGGAGTGCCGCGCATGCGTGGTTCCGCCCCCTGCGCCGGCCGAGGCGTAGCTGGTAAGCGGCAGAGACGGAGCAGGCCGACCACCAGCTGGCCCAGCCCAAGGGAGGTAAGGCACCCGCTGGAAAAGGGGGAAAAAATGGCGGACAAAAAAAATGGGGGACAGCCTTGGTTGGCGACCCCCGTGAAATGGTCGATTGACCCCAAATGGGGTCCCGACCCACAGGTTGAGAACCACTGGTCTAAAGCATGGGTGTCAAACTCGCCACATCAACATATCGCCACTTTTTTCACATTGCCGGACCTAGGGTGGGCATAGCCTCTGCATGATGCAACCGGCTCGCGGGCCAGCAGTTTGACACCCCTGGTCTAAAGGAACTAAAGCAGCAATGAGTCAAGGAAGCAATGTGGACAATGCATAAGAAGGTGGCTTGACGATTTGAATAGCTCCACCTTTTTTCTCAGAACTGGAGGAAGAACTCAGCACCTGCTCCCAATCAACATACAAAGATGTGTCCTCCAGGATGCCTAACTGGATGAGCTGGTTTTGAATCCTTTTCCCTTGACTAGGCATCCTCTGTGAATCATGCAGGATTGTGGATTCCTGACAAACAAGACAGGTCTATTTGCAATGGAAAACTACGTTCTCACTCAAACTCTTAAGTGGGAAAACACCCATATCACTTTTTCATAAAAGGAGCCAGAAGAGAAATACTGTAGCTGTCCAGTGCTAAACCAGCTTTCTCCTACAGCCAAACAGATTACTCTCCTGAAGTATGTCAACAATGCATGTTATAAAGAGGAGGTTTGAAAGTATTCAGGCAGTACTTAGCTAAACATGGCTTCATTGAGTTCTATGTTTTTATATATTCAGGGCACCCAAGGGCATAAACATACAATATCACAGATTATTACAGGCACAAAGTTCAAAGCAAATGGGATTGGCCACTACTATTATTACTTATTACTAATAATTAGATGCCTAATCATTAATCTATTTCTTCACAGAAGCACAATAAACTTTCCACATCAAAAGTACTGACTTTTGCTATATTCATACCTAAGATTTTTTTTTAATGATTCTGTTCTTGTTTCAAGATATTCATTACATCTTGGTTTAATCAGATGCATATTCTCTGCTAAACATGGACTATGTTGAACAAACTGCAGGCATCCAATCAGTCCATTTTTTCAGCCCATTTTTTCCTATAAATATAGCCTGCAATTATTATCCTTCCTGGATGGTCTCAATCTAAGTTTCCCCATTTGAAGCAAACACTCATCATGCTAAATGTACCTTTGCAGGCCATGTGGTACCATAAGTTGTCTCTATTTCATTTTTATAGCACCATATAGCATCAAATATATTTGTAGGCATTTGACAAAGTAGACCACAATTTACTTCTTGGTAAACTAGAAAAATGTGAGATAGACTCACCACCAGATGGATTTGTAACTGGCTGACAAATCATACTCAATGAGTAGTCCTTAATGGTACTACATTTACATGGAGGGAAGCAAGCAGTGGGTACCACAAGGTTTCATCTTAGGCCCAGGACTCTTCAATAACTTCATAAATGACTTATATGAGGGGATAGAAGGGGAACTCATCAAATTTGCAGATGACACTAAGCTGGCAGGAATAGCCAATACCCCAGAGGATAAGCTCAGGATCCAAAAAGATCTTGACAGACTTGGACAATGGGCCTTATCCAACAACATGTAATTTAATGTGGACAAAAGCAAGGTTTTACATCTAAGCAGGAAAAACCAAAGGCACAAGTACAGATTAAGTGAAATCTGGCTCAAAAATAGTAACTGTGAGGGGGACCTTAGAGTCCTAGTGGACGATCACTTAAACACGAACCAGCAGTGTGCGGTAGCAGCCCAAAAAGCGTATGCAATCCTTAGTTGCATAAACAGAGGCATAGAATCAAAATAACTTGAAGTATTAGTACCGTTTTAGAAATCCTTAATAAGACCACGCCTGGAATACCTCATCCAGTTTTGGTCACCACATTACAAAAAAGATGTTGAGACTTTGGAAAAAATGCAAAGAAGAGCAACTAAGATGATTAAGGGCCTGGAAACAAATATGTATGAAGAATGGTTGCAGGAATTAGGTATGGCCAGTCTAGAGAAAAGAAGGACTAGGGGTGACATGATAGCAGTAGTCCAGTATTTGAGGGGCTGTCACAAAGAAGAGAGGGTCAGCTTGTTTTCCAAAGCACCAGAAGGCAAGACAAGAAACAATGGATGGAAACTACTCAAGGAGAGAAGCAAGCTGGAATTAAGGGGAACAGTGAAAACAATTAAGCAGTGGAACATTGCCTTCAGAAGTTGTAGATGTTTCATCATTGGAGCTTTTAAAGAAAAGACTGGACAGCCACCTGTCTGAAATGATTATAGGATCTCCTGCTTGAGCAGGGGATTAAACTAGAACACCTCCAAGATCCCTTCCAGCTCTATTCTGATTGATCACTTTAGGAAAAGCAAAGCAATCACTATTAGCAACAAGATGCACAGAAAAATTCACTGTTCACTGATTATTAGGAAGCCAATTGTGCGTTTTCCCCAATGATAAACCATAAGAAACAATGCACTTCTATACTACCATATCTGCAAGTCCAGGATTACTTGTCTTCGATTAACTTCTTTGGTGTAGGTTTTCACTCCTTTAATTTTAGGACACTGAAAACAAAGCATGCAACAGTATTATTGATGCAGCAATGAGAAATAAGAAAGCCCCATTTATCTTAGCACAAATATAACAGCCAAACATCAAGCTAGAACTATTGTAATTTTAAAAAAATCTGCAGAAAGAAAACAAAACAATGGGCAGGAGAGAAAGATTACAGAGTATTTTCTAATCTGCTACCCTTCAGAGGTATTGCAACTAAACCTGGTATCATTTCCAGTCACCAGGGAGTTCAAAGATTTTTCTCCAACACATCTGGGAGGCATCATTTGAGGGAAGGCTGTGCTGTACTGCAGCCACTAAGTTTGCATTTTAAAATTCAAACAGCCAGAAATGTTAGCTGTTGAATTGAACAAAAGGAAACTCGAAATGTAAAAACTCCGTAAGAAAACAGAAATTCAAATTCCAATTTAAGATTACTGAACAAAATTAAGTCCTTAAGTAATTGAATTGACAATGCAAAACATTTTTTTCAATAGTATTGTGTGCATTTTTTAAATAACAAAGCAAAGGATCTTTACTCTTTTTATATTAATAAAACTAGTGAATAATGAATGGAAAGAGGATTTTTTTTAACCATTGATAACCCCGATAAATACAGACTACTTGACAACAACTAGAACAGGGTGGGAGAAAACATAAGAAAAGTTCAGCATACTGCCTCCTACCATAACAGGAGTTAACTTTTAAAGTTGCAGCATCTCTTTGTTATCTTTTTAATGCTAGCATCCTGAGGACAACCAAGTATAATCTGAAAGATTCTGAGAATACAGTACCTATTTTGAATGTAATGGACAAAAGTTCACAATCCTTTTGCACAAACATCTATTCTTTATTACCCTACCTGCACTTTTATCTTTCAGTCGAGTAACTTAAGGAATGGGTTTGAACAGGATCGTTTTATTGCAGCTATTATTAATAAAGTGAATATCATAAATCATTGTATCTATCTTAAGCCTAAATGAACACAGAAAATACACTCATGAAAAACTAGTCTGGATGTGACAATCATTTTCAAAGGCATCACCTTACCTTATCTCCAAGATGGATTCTAGTAAATGTACATGTTTTCAGATGTACATTCTTTCCTCTGATTTTTGGTTCAAGGATTTCCTTAAATGTTTTTTCCATAATTGCTCCAAAATATGGCCAGAACTGTTCAACAATCTATTCATAAAACAACAAAAAGCTAAAATCTCCACTTGTACATTACCATTGTTTACCATTTTTATTTTGAAGACAAAATGCCAACTTTGGAAATGTCTTTATGTTTCTAAAGTGATAGAACATACACTCGTTAGATGAAAATGAGCAGGTTAAATATTGTGGGATTTCTGAATTCAAACTGATAAGTCTTGGCATATTACACACCAGATTTAACTGGCTGAAAAGAAGAAAGCTTGCATAATTGATGTGGCAATAACCAGGGGATAGTAGAGTAGAAGACAAAGAATTGGAGAAGGCCACAAAGTATCGAGATCTGAAAATAAAAGCTAAAAGATTATGGTGGTGGACCCCATGATTATTGGCATACTGGGTACCATATCAAAAAATCTTGAACAACACTTAGAAAATCTGCACACTGACAAAATTTCCATCTGTCAATTACAAAAGGCCACCCTGCTTGGATCCGCACATATGACACAGAGATACATCACAACACCCTAGGTTCTTGGGAAGAATTGGATGTGTATGAAGGCCAACATCAGCTAAAGAACTGGCAGCTATGATTTCACATTGTTGGGACAAGATTAGAAGATTCAAAAAAAATGATTTTCAAGCTTAAAACACACATTTGACAATACTGCTTTAATTTAAGCTGTGAATTAGATTCCTTCATGATTTTCCTGGGCTGCATAAAATTTTCCAAAGCACTGAATAATTTTCACGCCAGGCATTCATACTCTCCCTCTCCTTCTCCCTCCCTCTCTCTCTCCTCCCCCTCTTCTCGCTACTGCTATGAACTCCTAACATAACATTAGACCCTGTAGTTCAATATTTCACTTTTCCTCCAAATCTAATATACAAATCTTATTACTTGGACATGGGGACATTTCATTCTGCTGATGACAACTTTTCCAGTCAGTTTACAGCAGTTTGACTGACTGAGGATATTGTAGATTTGGGCTGGCAAGGAAGAGTCAGATGATTATAGAATAATTACCAGTTTTATGAAGATCTGCCTAAGAGGTTTCAGTGCTGAGCATATATTATAACATAAATGCTATGTCTAGTTAGTTTTGGTAACAATGATGGCTGCACAATTTGTTTTGGGGGGATCCTGGCAAAGGCAGATGGCAATGTTTTTTCTTCAGCAGAAGAGAATGTTGATCAAACAAACTTTAGGGCAAACCGTGAACGTGATACAAATGATACCCAACTTACCCCAGCCACTTAACTAGAGCAAACAAGCTTATTCACGGGTGATTCAACAGCCAAGTTACAAAGCAAACTTTGAAGCAGAAACATTTCAGCCTTATGCTTATCAGATAAAAGCTCCTTTCACATCCAATGCCTTACCTTGTTCAGCCATTCTACCCGTTCAACATCTGGGAAGTGCACCTGTAAAGCAAGGCAAAGAAGAAACGAGTGAAAATTGAATGGATTATGAGAATTACTAAGCAAAATGCAAGTAAAGTGACAGGACTAACAAAGGACTATTATGAAGGACTATTATATAGCATGATTACATAGCAATACCAAAAGTGTGTCCCTACATTTTCAGATTTAGATCCATTATGAGACAATTACATTTACAAACAGAGCTCCATGCTGAAAACGGAAGACAAGATTACTTCAGCTCAAAGAAATAGCTATAGCTTTTAGAAAAGGCAACATTTTATATACAAGCAAACTAATTTCTGTTTTTCTGTTTATTATCTTGATGTTCAGGGGGATACTTTTTATTTTATGGGAACTTAATTATTAGTTGTTCCAGAAACAGGCAATCAATCAATCAAATAAATCCAAATTTTAGTTTGTGGAACTTCCAGTTAAAAGTCAATTAAGTAATATTTCTGAAAAACACTTCTGTCTGACAGCTTCTTCTTCTGAGAATAGTCAATTGGAGTAAGTCAACCAACTATCCAGGAATCATGACAATGGCATCTATAGAAGCCCACAATTATCCTTAACATGCAATCCAAGTTCTCACACATTTAAGGGTGGAGATCACTTAAATACTGGAATTTTTTTACCTTCAATTTTTGTCACCCACGCTAATGTGAAATAAAGTGATTTATTTCATCTTGTTAGCTTTATGCTAACTCTTCATAGTAAACCAGATTTATTGTATAGAAAAAATTTGCGCACCTCAACTTATTAAAAAGTGAGCAACAATAAAGGCCTATTTTGTATTTTCATTTTAAGGTAATCCTAGTAAGTAAAATTGCTTTTCCCTAAAGTCTGTGATCAAATATCTTAATTAAAAGGGCCATGCATTCTTAAAAAAAAATTAACTGGAAGTCTGATCTAAATTAAGATTAGAGGATAATGTTTTTGCTTTTAATTATATTAAATATTACAATTAGATAATTGTTAAGATTTCTAAGTGCCACAGATAACATACCTCATTATAAACAAACTTATGTAGCTTTAAAAAACAAAAGGGAAAAATAACAACTTTTCTAAATAATATTCATATATTGGAAGTGCTTCACAATCAGTGTTATTAATTTCCCTGTGCTTCTAAGTTTCCATTCACTTCATGAGTAAAATGTCACACTAAGTCCCTGGTTATAGAAAAGGAAAGGGCTCCCTCTGTGAAAGAGATGGACGTATTTAAAATTTGATACATAATAAATAAAATTAAAAATATGATGAAAGCACAAATATAATTCATAAATAAAAGTATTATTACCAAAAGTTATAACATTATGTATCCATCCTATACTGCACGTATTTTTTAGTTTGAGGGGATAATGGTAATAGTATGTTGGCTTACAGTACAAGCACTCTCTAAATTAGAGATCCTAGTTAATATAGAATAGTCTGAGCATATAAACCCCCAAACGGCCAAATTTTCCTTCTTTGTGTCCTTACCATTAATAGGGAATGCTGTATATAGCACAGGTACAACTAAGGCTGATAACCGAATCTCCTCTCCTCTTCCTGCCTTACTAAAAAGCATTTTAGAAAAGTCTTGACTGAGCAAAATCTTGAAAAAACAGAGGTCAATATTCGGCAGAGCACCGAACAGCTGAGCCGACAAATCCAGAAATTCGGCCAGCTGATGATTTTGCCCCCTTCCCCCTCCCGTTAGTGGTAAGCCCACAGGGGCTTGACACCTGCACCAGGCGGCATGGCAACCCATGTATAAGATGCACCTGATTTTTGAAGAGGGTGTTTGCAGGAAAAAATAGCATCTTATACACAGAAAAATACGGTAATTGAATCCCACCACTGGTACACCCTGTTTTAGAGATCCACGTCTCCCTTAAAGCAATGGCATTTCTCATTATCACTCTACTTTATAGGAATGCCTGCACAGTTAGCCTCTAATCAACCTAGGCAATCTCTTGTTCATGATCTGTTATAGAAGCATGATAAAATTACAGGTGTAAGCAGAAACGGCAATCTCTTCACTGCCACAGTTTCCTGTTACTCAGTAAGAAAGGTCATTAAAGGGATGGAACCATTGCAAGAAGCAGTCAAATGCTATTGGTCAAGACCAGTGCCCCACTCCCACCCTCAACAATAGTTTTGGAGGGAGAGACCAGTTGTGGTCTGCTTGTATGGGAGAAGATATAACCAAGCAAGCAAAAGTCACTGTGCCCTGTCTTAGTATTAAGTGTACTTCCACCTTATCAGGTATCTGGTCTAAGCAAGGAAGAAACAAACCCATCTTTAATGGTGCAGTGATTCACACGAGATTGCTTTGTAATGCAAAACAAAAATGCAAAGTAAACGAAATGACGAGCCATGTCTGATTTACAGTACTCTAGGTATTTCCTACACAGCCTCAGTGTTCCTCACGTGTAACAGAGGAGCAGAGCAACAGAAAGACTTGACCCCTAAGGCTGTTTTAAAGAGTGTTTGTTAGAATGCCTGACATGAACTGATACAAATGTAGGCTTAATCTGTACTTCTATATGGTTTACCCAGTCACAC